GACAAAAAATCTGTAATTGCAAAGTAAAATGCATTTACAAAAAAAATAATACAGCATACAAATATATTCTTGATTTGAAGAACTTAAACAAATTAAATTATCGAAAAGAAGATATTTATATATATATACATATATATATATAATATTCCATTAGTTAGCAATGCTTAGCATTGATTACTGACGTAAGAGAAATATAAATAATAGACAATATGCCATTATTGCTTTAGTTCGAAATATATAATGCGACTTTTTTTCTTAAATAATTTAATACTATATAATTGATTAATAATTAATATACATATAAATATATACATCTATTATATATATATATATATTTAATGAAACATGTATTTTCAGATATAACTAATTTATTCTTTCAGATTCCATAGGTATGTTATTATTTTGTTCCACTTGTATGATTACATATATAAAATGAATTTCCTAATTATTTTTTATGGCTGAAGAACACATACCAGGAGAAGTTTCTCTAATCATTCTCTACTCCAGTAGATTTGCTCGATAGAGAAAATTTCTTGTAGCTCTAAGACGGGAGATGTAGAGAATAAAATCTTAGTATGTGACGGTTCCTTATATACTTATGTGTTCTGAACTCTCCACTTCAGTCAGGAGGCAGGCAGGACAGGTTCCGTATGTGGAGTGGCTTGGTTCTGAAGCTGGTTGGTGGCATGGATGATGTCATCTACCATCCCCACCTACACTACGTGGCACAGTTGGCACACCCTCGCGCGCCGCATTCTTTACTCCAAACCAGAGTCATGAGAATGAACGAACTCGGTATTTGTATATTACTCGTAATCCTCGTTACTTCAAAAAAAAAAAAAATTAACTTTTTCCCAAAATTTTTTAAAAACAAAAAGAAAAAAGAGAAAGACATACAAACAAACAATATCGAAAGAGTTTTTACTTCAATCGCAAGACAATTTGATCTCACACAGGGTAGTAGTTTTATTTGCTCAAAATATACTTTGATATGAATTACATTTGTTCGCGAGAATTTTCAAACAATAATACTATTATTTTATCGGTATTCAAATTTACATCCAATGTGTCGTAGTAAGAATGAATTCTTATGTTATTTATTTTAACATTTATTTATTTTTTTTTTTTTCATATATCATAAATAAATTCAATTTTAATCGCAGAATGTAGTTAATCGTTCTTGTATCGAAGTATTACAAGTCAATGTTTGAATTTGTTAATGAAAACTTTCTGTACATATCTTAAGATTCCGCAAAGAATTACATATTAATATATATATATATATATACATACATATATATACGCGTTTATTTTCAGTTCAGTCATATTTTAATTTACGATTGAAATTTTGATTTCAATAACATCACGAAAATGTATACTTTTGCGAAAGGATCTTTAATAGTGCACAAAGTCAAAAGTGGTAGACAAAATTTTTGTAGTAACGTGGTATGATGGGAAATGGGTGTAATGGGGAATATGCATTTGTATAGATTTGTGTTCTTTAAAAAAAAAAAAAACAAAAAAAAAGCAATAATTAAATATGAAAGTAATAAAAATGTTGTGGACATTGCAGGGTAATTAGATTGTAGTTATCAAGTTGATTATAATAACACTATAACACTTTCTTCGTTGAAAATTAATGTAAGAATTTAAAAAAAGAGAAGAAAATATACATATATAGGTTCCAACTTGTGACAATAATTTAAACGATAGATAACTAATTTTTATAGCAGTATTTGACTAGCAAGTTATTTTTTTTTTCTCTCTTTAAATCAGAAGGATATTATTATCAAAATAAAAATATAAATATATAAATAAGAGGATAGTTATTATACGAAATTCCGAAGTCGTCCGTAAATTACGCAATGGGAATAATAGAGGGTATTACATTATTTTTATGTTATAACAAAATTTCCAAAAAAAAAAGAAAAAGAGAGACTATTCTCATAAATGAAATTATTTATAAACTTAGTTAGTTTTAAATATTAATTTATATTTATATTTTTTCTCTAATAAAATATTAAGAGTTGTTTTTTTTTTTTTAATTTATATTTATATTTATATTTATATATACATAACAAGAAGTTATTAGTACTACAATGTTATTAAAAAATTGTATAACTAATACTATTGTTACGAAACTTCAAGAAATAATTACTAAAAGGAAAGTAAGAAGTAGAGTTAACTAACTCGTTTCGTAATTTGGACGGCTAAAAATTTCTTAAATCACACGAACTCGATGATAATCTACTAACATATTTTTTCTTTTCAGCAAAAGGGAAGGCGTTTAAAAACATATCCATATTTAATAGCAAGTTGTCATTAAATCAAGACAAAATACTTTCTTATATTAGGAAGCAGAGTTTTTACATTAACACAAAGTTCATGTCCTATCGTTTATCGTTTTTTTTTTTTTTTAATTAATACAAAGGGATGAATGTGTAAAATATAAATATGTATGTATATTTTGTATGTGGAAGTGTGTGTATATTAATTTAATGACAACTTGCTAAAATAAACTAATCATTTTTACAGCTATAATGAGTATACTTTTTTTTCAGCAGAAAGCAACACAGCATATTTTATAAAAAAAAAATAAAAAAATACAATTCCAACAAATTGAGCCCTTAAAAAGTTGTTGTGATATCTCCTGACGCGAATGAACATTATTCAAATATTTGTTCTACCCATTACTGAAATACACAATTTGAAAACCCTAATAAAAGGTTTGCAAGTTGAAATAGTTTATGATCCACATTACAAATAATTACTATACATGATAAATGAATAATAAAATTATTGTAATGTGGTTAATAAGCGTGTACTCATTGGTTGGAAATATTATTAAGCGTGCATGATAATTACGAGGAAAAATTAAAAAAGATTATTACAATAATTATTTAATCAAGATTTGTATAATTAAATTAGTAAGATAAGCAAAATTGTTTTGTTATTTTTTCTCAATAATGACAATCTTATGATGAATGTATTTCAGGTGAGAAAGGAATTCATAGCAATGCTACGTGAGCACAAAGACATTGACAGACATTCGCACTGGAGTGACTGTAAGAAAAAATTGGAATCTGATTGGAGGTACAGAGTCGTAGATTCAGCAAACTCTAGAGAAGATTGGTTTAGAGAATATATTCGTATTCTGAAGGAGGAAAGGAAAAAGGAAAAGGAGAAAGATAAAGATCACCGCCACAGAGATAAAGACCATCACAAGTCTGAGAAGAAGGACAGGGACCGGAAGGATGTGGATAAGTATAAAGAAAAATCTAAGGACAAATCTGATAAAGATAGCAAGGAAAAGAAACAGAGACGAAACGATACCGCTGCTGAAGAAAATGGAAAGGAAAAGAAGGAAACTGTTGAGAAGGAAAGTGGAGAGTTGGAAGAAAGTGATGAGAAAAATGCTAAAAAAGATAACTATGTAAGTTCTCTTGAAATTACATTTTCTTAAACACTCGAAACAAAAATATGTGCTTTTATTAGATATTGTATATCTGTGTTTAATTATTATTATTATCATATATGATATAATTGTAGAAAGAAGAAGGAGACGATCATTCTGATTCCGAGGAAGATCGTGAAAAACAGAAACGAGAACGCGAAAGAAGAGCAGAAGCTAGTTTAAGAGAAAGAGAAAGAGAGGTACAAAGAACATTAGCTACACATCTTCGTGATCGCGATAAAGAAAGACAGCATCATCGTCATACTGAAGCTGTTCAACATTTCAGCGCACTTCTAGCTGATTTGGTATTGAACTATATTTTCTGATTTTGGATTAGAACTACAAAAATTCAAATGTATAACTCTTTTGTAATAAAATATTTGACAATTTAGGTGAGAAACGGTGATCTTGCTTGGCGAGAAGCTAAACGACAATTGAGGAAGGATCATAGATGGGAATTAGCTGAGAGTTTAGATCGCGAGGAAAAAGAAAGATTATTTAATGAACATATCGAACAACTTGGTCGAAAAAAGCGAGATAAATTTCGTGAGGTTTTAGATGAAGTTGGTGCTTCCACTGAACTCACAGCATCTTGGAGAGACATTAAGAAATTATTGAAAGATGATCCGAGATATATTAAATTCTCATCCAGTGATCGGGTAAGTTAATAATTAATAAAGTTTACAAATTGTACATAGAATATCTATTAATCATATTGTTTTTTTGTATTAATAGAAATGTGAAAAAGAATTTAAAGAATATATCAAGGATAAACTTGTTGCTGCTAAAGCAGATTTTAGAGAACTTTTGCAGGTATGCAGTGTTTTCTATGTTAATGTATCGAATATATTTCATTTCTGTATTAATATGTTTCTAATTACTTTTTTTAGGAAACCAAGTTGATTACCGATAAAACGTACAAAAAGGTGCAAGAAAATAGTGCATGTCTTGCAGAAATTGAAGAGATTTTGAGGAAAGATCGACGTTTTCTTGTATTAGAAGCCGCTGCTACTGAACGAACGCGGTTATTGATGGGTTATTTAGAAGAATTAGCTCGAAGGGGACCACCTCCACCTCCGACAGCTTCGGAACCGTCAAGAAGACCAACCACAAAGTAAATATGATCAATTTCTTATAATAAACCCTTTAAATTTTGCAAATATAATATATTATTTTTATTTCAGTTAAAGCATTTGAATCGGCAAGTGTGAAAACATAAATGTGGTGCCCCAAATTAATAAATTTATTACTATAGTTGGATTGAAGTACTTTACCTGCAAAAGGTGATAATCGTAATGTAATTATAGGTATCAATAAAAATAACACCAATTCTACACAATTAAACGTGTGCCGTGTTATATAAAAAAGTACTAAGTTTCGATCTAACTTGTCCATTGAGAGTCATATAAAAAAAAAAAAAAGGAAAATAATTATGTATTATGAAAATAAATACGTAGGTATTTATTGCATTGTCAAATTTAAGATCCATGAGTGTGTCCGATTAACAATACTTATATAATGCAAAATATGTATGCTTTTATAATTCTTTTATATAAATTTTCATGTGCAAAGGGTAAAACTATAGAATTCATGAGATGAATTTTTAACTCTCTCTCTCTCTCTCTCTTTCTCAGTCTCTCTCTCTCTCCCACACTTTAAGCTGTATTATGCATTTGACGATTGTATAATTGAAGATAATTTATTGATTATATTTATGTTATCTGATAATTTCTATTAAAGAGAGTTGTATTATAAACAAGAAAAAGAGAAATTTATGACAATCAGACGAGGTATATTTTTTAGACGCAAGATTATATTAAATATAGAAGATCTTTTGAAAGTTAAGTTATTCGAACAAAATACAGCGCAATAAATGTAAGTATATAATTAATAACAACAAAGGAACCGACTAGAAATACTTATAATTTGATGATGCTTTATGATAGTTCATATTCCTCTCCGTACTTGGTGTTATAGGAATGTGTTACACACTTGACCCATGTTAAATACGAAGATATCGAGAAGTTTCAACGATTAATTGCTTCTGTATATTAATCATTATCGATGATTTATGTCAAGAATGATAAGAATTTATACTATAAATTTATTTAAATATGATAAACGAAAAATTGTAAAGCGTATATAATACACATTGTAGAACTGTATCAAGAGTTAGTATATTGTTGTATTTTCTCAGTATACTCAACATAAAAGTCTATACATATTATCACAATGATTTTAATTATATTGTATTATAGTTTAATCCTTTTTTATTTAAGATTAAATTTTTTAGCAATTTCCTTCTTCGATCATTAAGAAGATCCAATAAATCCCTAATTCTTACGTATTTTTACTATTTCAGCTATCAATGCAACACTGATTTATCCAAAATTCTTCAACAGAAAAACAATCCTATTTATTATAATCAAAGACCTTTTCTTTTTGGCTTTTTTATTTGGGGAGGAGTGGGTGGGATTAATTCGCAATGTTAACATATACTTTTTTGTCATGGTATTAGACTAAATGTAATCATTCGAAGAAAGATAAAGAAGAAAAAAGAATATAAGGAATGAAAGAGAGAAGGACAAACAAAGAATAATAAGAAAGGACTAAATAAAAAAAGAAATAAAGAAAGAGATAAAGGATCTCGTTGGCCTCGAGGCGATCTTGTCTAAGAGGTGCCGAGCAACGTTCTGTTGGTGAGATGATGATAATGATGGTGGTGTGGTGTAGTCTCTCTACGACGACAAAGTGAAAGTAAGATTTTGCTTTCTATTCGTTCTCGTACAGAGCAGTGAGGGCTGCACCGTGGTCGCGATCGTGTGTGTTTAGAGAACAATGTGAGCGTTCGCCGTTACGAATACCTGAGAAAACAAAAAGAAACAAAATAAAATAAGAAGAAAATACTTATCTCATTAATAAAATTGAAATTGAACTGAAAAGTAAACTAGCCAATTGTTCGGAGATGCTATCATGATAGTTGCATTGATTTTATATTGAAAACGTGAGTGAAAGAGTTCAAGGAAAGTCTGAAAAAGAATTTAATGGGATTCAAGTTTGGTTGATGAAAATGTCGCAGCACGTAGGAGGAGTTCCATCATGCCTCTTCCTCTTCGTAATCTTCTTTCTTGTTGGTACCTATTGTCAACAAGGTAAACAAATTTCAGACATTTTTATATAATATTTATTTCATTTAATTTAATAATAAATTCCATTAATAATTATATTTTCAAAAGTTTCAATTGATTCAGCCATTGATGATCTATCGATCCAATTATCCCGTTAAATTATTAAATACACACATGTACAGGTGTTTTCTTTTTAACAGAATAATCATAAATGGCGTTTGAAGTATGATATTGCGTTCAAAGAAATAGCTATGGATTTAGTTTTTTTTCTCAAGGTTGGGAAAGTCTCTTAGCGCACATGCATTTTTTATGATGAATCGAATGAAGAAACGAATAAAGTCAAACGCGTGAACGAGATCTCTAGCAGCGAAAGTAAATGCATTTGGTATGCGCGTGTATGCGTTAGGTCAGCGTGAAACATACAAATGAGAGGAGAGGAAAGAAATAAAAAGAGAATCCAGATTCTGTTAAAGAAAACAAAGGGTTTTAGTTGTGTAAAGCACCTTTGGTAATACAAGGAACGATCGACGACCGATCGAAGGACGATCGAAAGGAGAACGGTTACCGTTGTTAATACTTCTGCATATTCACATATATATGCACATATATATATATGTACGAGTATACATAATTTTATTCTTTAAGCTTTGCACGATTCCTCGCTCCTTTTCTGACTAAACCGTTCCGTTATAATTCAGCTCCTTGCCTTATTCTCTTCTCTCTCTTTCTTTCTCATGTATTATCAAGTATTCTACTCGCGAGGAAATCAATTTTCTATTCGACCATTTAAGAGGAAGAAAGTCGAAACAAACACATTGCGTGTGCAATAAAGATAATCTACTATACTCGATCGTGTGCTTACCCTTTTCCAATTTCTTTAATAGTTACACGGTTACATAGTTCGATTACATCGTCCTATTGCAATCGGTACGTTCCGCTTTTGTTATTTATTCCGATATACGCATTGTCTTATTATTACTATCATTACTATTATTACTAATATTATTATTATATATCGTATATAAGTATATAGTGTAATAGTAATAACGATACAAGGCCATGAAACAATTCCCCCACAGTTACGAAGGCAAACGAGATTATATTGTATAGGGTGAACCAATTGAACATTTAGTTGTTTTTAAATTACGAGGAATTTTCTACATCATTTATTTTACATAGGTTTAATCAATGTTCTTTTGGTTTTCTTTTTTTTTTTTTTTTTTTTAATAAATTAGAGTAATTTACACGATAGGTTACATGTAATAGATAGGTACATGCAAGCATTAAAGTCTCTATGTGAGCGTTGAAATCTCCATATCGTTCCATTCTCTAACATCTGTTTCACGTGTAATGCGGTTGTTGCATTAGAATGGATTTAGGTTTCATCGAAAGAATTCGAGATCGATAGATCATGCTTCCGTTAAAGAATGCATGAAAAAATAAGGAAATTAATTATTTTACATGATAATTGTTCCGACAAAAATTTGATTGGAAAGATTTGAATTATGATAAATATATTAAATAATATATATTACGTTAATTATTACTTTAAACAAAAATGTCTATTATCTCGTTATACTTTCAGAAACTTCTCAGGCACGATACAAGTTCTCACAACTCATACCAACTAACTCGGTTTACGAACATCGAGAAAGTGATGTGCCTTCGGAATGGAAGAAAAAAAATGATACATCATCGTTGCTTCGTTCGTTGGAAGAAAATAACGTCATGGATACGTCACGGTTGAATTCAAAAGAGAATATTGAAGAAATAGAAGAAAATGAGGAAGAAGGAGAAAGAGAAGAAGAAGAAGAAAAAGATGATGATGTAGCTGATGAATGTGATTACGAAACTTATGCTAAATCGGAAATTCCTGATCGAATTAAAGACACATCGAAATGTAAGCAACCGATACGCGAACATAATCCACTTCCAAATATCGATAATCTTCATAATTCCAAGAATCAGGAATACGTCGAAGATCATTCGACGAATCAATATGATTCATATTATTATGAGGATTATGATAACAATAATCGATCGCAATACAAAACCATAGGTAAATGTAGATTCTAATTATTATATAATTATTTATACATAGATTTAAATAACACATTTACATTTTAATTCCTTATTAAAAATCTATAGACGCAGAAACTGTTGATTATGCGGAATTCGAAACGCACGATGATACAACTACCGAAAAATCCTCGGCAGGATTAAATAATCATCATGATCAAGTTGATCATTCTTATTCCGAAGAAGAATATTTATACGAGGATAAAGAAGAAGATGACGATGATGATTCGATTTCTACGACAAACAAAGATGTTAAAGAAGTTTCTTCGATGGAGGGTAGCAAGAAAAATTATGCTTTTGCAGAACCACCGAAAGGATCATCCTTATTGCAGGATGATGATGAATTAGAAAGTCCGATTTTGATCGGTGAAGCTGTTGTATCCGTAGTGACAACAAAAAGTGTAGTTAATGGAACGATTTCTGTACCAACGAGTACACCAACACCAATGACTACCGAACAAGTAGCACCACCACCTTCGTTGACGAAAGACAAATCTAACGATGATCGATTATTACAAAGTACTACGACTGAAGATTCCAGAGTATTGGCATTTGTACCAACCAGTCGTAGCATATTCGGTGCACGTGTTCTATCATTTCCGGTGGTAGATCAAGTCATAAGAATAAACAACGATGCTGCACCTGTGACTCCGATAAAAAAGACATTTCCACCTCCAGAATCAACGGAAAGCATCATCGATAAACTTGACAGAGTGCAATCTGAATTATCAAGTGGTTTTCTCGTTGGTGGCTTTAGGACAGCTGGCAATGCATTGCAGTTGGATGTTTTAAATGACAGAGATCGTACCAATCGTCGTAAATATGTTACATCTACGAGTAATATCAATAGTACTACTACTAGTAAAATTCCTATTATTAGTAAATTTGTACCTAGAAGATACAACGACAAGAGATTTGATCGTACGAACGTCAATAATTCTGAAGGATTTTTAAATGATTCGGATTCCAATGGGATGACTGCTAGCACGGCACGAACGAAGATAGCTTTCAAGTTAGAAAATTATATTATTTTTGTATATTTTCTCATTTATTTCGTATGTTTATTATCGTAATAATAATTTCTTTTAGATGGCCATCTGGAAAAACAACGACACCATTAAATTCCGACGACATAAAATCTACGACTCAGGCCAGCATAGCTTCAACTAAAAAAATTAACACACAAATCATCTTTCAAGATGTCAAATCTTTCCTACCACCTGGATTTAAATTGTCCAAAGAAGATAAACAGGAAGTAACAGAGCGTAGTGTTTTAAGTGATATCTTTGCTAAATCAAAGATCGATGTTTCCAAACTTTTACCACCTGATTATAACAAAAAGAAGAACAATGATGTATTAACGACACAAGTAACAACACCGATTGTCGATTCATCGAATAATTTTACTACAGAAAAAATTTCCATTCAAAATCTCTTTGCCAATGCAAAGTTCGACGTGGCTGCTTTGTTACCACGTGATTACAAAGAAAAAGCAACAAATTCATCAGAGACCAAGGGAAGTGAAACTGTTGATTCCAATAATGACAATTCTACTTCAACCAGCTCTGAACCGACCACAGTTAAAGCTGCTGGTGGCTTGAAAATTGTTTTTCCTAGCAGACCAGGTGGACGAAAACATGGTCATAAAATTACAACTCCTCAAAGTCATCGAGTCGATGGACTTCCTGCGATTACTCCGCGTATACAGAAAGGATGGCCAACTAGGTAAATATCTATCAACTTATAGATAAAATTACAATTATCTAAATTTCATGTTCATTTGTAGAGCTACCACTGAATTTACTGGCTGGCCAACTCCATCAACAACACCAATTTCAATCGAAAAACTCTTGGAAGTTGCAAGAACTGCAACAGACACATCTGTGAACATGTCAGTCGTCGAAACTACAAGTGCAGTTTCGATAACGTCTACGACAACTACAACAACTACGACACCCAGATCAACGACTATTGGAATATGCGAGGAAGAGTGTGAAGTTGCTGGTACCATACGAATAATTGGTAATACAACTTGGGTCCCTGAATTACTGGATCGTAACACTCAAGAATGGCAGCAACTTGCTAACGAAATTGAAAGAGATGTAAATTTTAATTAATCACTTTCTTCTCTGAAATGTCTATGCCAATATTTTTGTATAACTTTGATATCTTTTTTTCAGATGAATTTCGTTTTTTCAAAGTCTACCGTTTTAATGAATTGGTACAAGAAGATAAGAATCGATTCGTTCAGGTATACAATCATAAATATAAATTTTAAAAAGCATATTTAATTTTAGTCAAATTAATTTGTCTAATTCTTCAGTCCAGGTAGTATCTTAGTTGACTTTTTCATTGAACTCATAAACCTACCTCAAAGAATCAATACGCAAGAATTGAAAGTCATATTTCATGATTCTTTGAGAACGTATAATTCGAGTCGTTGGAATGAGACTAAAATGAAAGGAGATATGAAGTTAGGTGCATTTACGATTGATCCTAAATCTACTGATTTTGTAGGTAAGTTAAATATCAAGTATAATTTTTATGCAAGTTGTTATACTGCATTATTTTTTATTTTTAGTAATACCTAAAGTTCCTTTCTCTAATATTATTGAAAACGAGGATAGATTAATACCTCAGTGGGCAGTTGTTATGATAGTCATTGGTATTGGAGGATTATTATTCATTATTATTTTCGGCGTTTCTGTGGTAAATAACAATTAATTAATAATTTAATTTAACAATTATTGCAAAGTTCATTATGATAAGAATAATCTTAAAAATTTTAGTTGGTAAATCGTCAAAATGGTTCAAAATTGAAACCCACTGTGTCTACCATTTATGAAGATGGAATTAGGAAAAATATACTGGGAGGTTCGCATGCAACCTCGTTGAACAGATCTAACGATTACCCAAAACAAGTACATACTATATGGACTGATCCAGATGTATCGTGGAATGATAAATCATTTGAATCTGCATCTAGCAAGGTATACTTATAAAATTATTTTTATGTAAAATATTGTACACCTGAACATGTATGTAATGAGTGTTGCCTGTCATCTGGAGCACATCAGCGGCAAAGTTTAATTTACAAACTCGACTACTAGATGAGATTCCATGACGTGAGTCGATAAAAAAGAAATCTACATAATTGTTTAAATAATCTTTTTTTTTTATATGTTTTACAGGTATTAGTCGATAGATCATTTCAAGAAGGTAAGAAATATAATCTTCACGACAGTTGGCGATCTGAATGGAACGGATATTATTCAAATCCATCACACGGAAATAGTAAATATAGCTATAATAATAATAATCATCACCATCATCATCATCAACAACAACAACATCCAGATTATGATACGAATTTTTAACATTGATAACACTAAATTGTTATCTCTGTAATTTGTAAGTTAATTTATTCGCATATGTGTACAGTAAGTATTTAAAATCGTATACCGTTAATTATAATAAATTTAATACTCATTAAAGTAAGGATAATACAAAATACATTTATTTAAAAAATACGTATCTATTATTATACTTGGAATATTAAACAATTTTAATTTGATATTTTATTGTATGAACATTTTGAACTAAAAGTTATCACTGACTAAAAGATTTGAAAACGAAAGTATTTTAATTGAAATAATCCATAATATATGTAGAGTGTATTAAAGTATTGAACTTACCATAAATCATTGTTAATTAATAGAAGAAAATGTATATTGTAGTCTAAAAGCACAAATGTACCGATAGATGTACGTTCTTTTTCGAAATTCACCGTTAGACTGGTTCATTGTCCTCTGTGAAAGTTCTTTTGATGTATGTTGTTTATATGACTTTTCGAACGTTGTCTACGTGTACAACGGTTATAATATCCCTAATAAAGAGAATTTAAGATTATAACGTACTAATTTTAGCATTTTTTGCATTCTAATGTAATTATTTTATCGCTTCTGCGCAATGATGACTTTGAGTATAAAATTTACCTGTAATACAAGTAGAATTCATTAGAGTATGAAAATAATTGTTAAAAAGTACATTATAATCTTAAATTCTCTTTATTAGAAATATTATAACCGTTCGCAAAATCATATAAACAATATTTCATAAAATAACTTTAACACAGAGGACAATGATTCAGTCTAACGTTGAATTCCAAGGATAACAGTATGTCGAACTTATACGCTGTGTTTTTATAATAAAATATACATTTTTTGTTCATTAATTAATAATTATTTAAGATATATCAAACATTCTAATGTTTTTTACTAATATATTTGTTTTTTTTAATGTTTTTGGTCATTGACAGATGCAACCAAGGATGCAAATTTTTAAATTGTCTTCATCCTAAACGCACTATATCAATAGAAACGGTGTACGATTTTAAGTAATGCTCACTGTATTTATTTGGAACGATCATTGGCTTTGATATTTAGGTATAATCGATATAATGCAATACAGGTTAAAATAAAAAAGAATTACGAATTTATACAGGACAAACATATAAAGGGAAAACAAAAATTATTAATATTATTTGAAAAAGTTTAAAAATATTTTTTCATTTTATATGTATTGCGATTATTATCAACAAAAGGTATAACCGTAAAATATAATTAAAAGAATTTAAATTCGTTTACTCTAGTCAAGAAATATAAAATAATACGTTGTCTCTTAATTTTTTGTAACTATTAAAATAATTTGAAAAATAAGGTACATGCTTTATTTTAAAATATAACAAAATTCTTTAAACAAAAATCACAAGTTTTCTTACATTCTATTAGATAGACAATACTTACGAAATACATAATCTTTATTATTTATGGAATAATAAAGAATTAGAGAAGAGAGAGATAGTAATGGAAGTAAAGATGAGGAACCTTATTTATTTTGCAAACGATGGCCACAATTTATCTGGTAATGATAGACTCATAAATGTTGAATTCTTTGGTTCTTTTCGTGTTTCTATCTGGTGTCGAAGTAAGCATAAAAGCTTTTGATATAAAAACGATCGCCTAAACAACACATAAAGCAAGGATTTTAAATAATTTGCTATTAATTTTTATCAAATAAAATAGAGAATATAGAATATATTATTGAAACAATTACTTATTAGCAGGTTTACAAATTGTCAAATGATCCTGTGGAATTTCAAAAAATTCTCCTACTCCAGGATCTGCCAAAAAAATAATTTGTTTAAATGTTAAAGAAAATGTTTTCTTTACATTTATTTATAGTTTTAAAAACTCACCTGCTGAATCAGGTGTGACAAATTGGAATGAAAGTTTTAAAGCAGTTACCAGGGTAGATTTAGTTTCACTGAAGCTCACTATATTCATAGGATAATCTTTTAACATCTCAAGAAAATCTTTGTGCAATCCAAGAAGATGTGGTGATTCTGTAGAATATAAAATACAACGTATAAAAATTAACTGCTATGCTCTTTTATATATAATTTATATATATACTGTTCTTATAAAATAGTTATTTATATTTATACATACCTTCTCGTAATTCCTGCACCTCTATAGATGGCCATACAAGCATTTGTGTTGCTTGCGTTAATGCAGCTATGTGCGAACCGCGATGCGGAGTACTATAAAATACTATGCCGCGTGTATTTTTACATATATTATGTTTATCTCCAGTTTTCCATTCTATAAGTTACGATAAATGAATATTTACATATTTATTCTTTATTTTTATTCATTACTAACCTTCGACGAGCATTTTTTTAACTAATAAACCACCCATTGAATGACACACCCATATTATTGGTCTTTTTCCAACATCTGCTATCAATAATTTATTAATATATTCATTACTTCTATCGCTGATGGTACTCCTAAAAAAATGAGTAAAGTAAACAAACAGTTAAATATATTTATATATAAAGATATTTCATTATTATTTACTTCAAGCTCTCTATTGGACATAAAGGAGTCCACATTGATAAATTGGTGTCATAATTAACACCGAGTATTCGAAGATATGGCACATCTCGAGGCAACCAATCCATCGGCCAACATTGTGTTCTACAAATTGTTTCTTGATCCAAATTTTTCATACAAGCGTCGTCCCTATAAATTTTTATTTTTAAATAAAAATGACTATACTTTGATGAATATAAAGTATATTACCCTTTACAAGTAAATGGACCAGTTGCTTGATAATTAACATTAACAGGACAATCATCGAGTATCACCTCGTAGTCTCTGCCTAATTTTTTCCATGCACGCATTTGCAAATCGTAAGCCAAATCTTTGAAAAATTCTTGTGGATAATCTTTGATCAATTTAGAGAGTTCACCACTCTCATTTTTTATGTCAATAGGATCTATAATTATTACATAAAAAAAAAATCATCCGTATTACATAAAATAGACATACGATATATTTTTCTTTTTAAATTAATTATCCATACCAGTGACAAACCTTCACATTTAATTGCATCTTTTTTAATGTCTCTCTGTCTCCATGTTATAAATACACCGCCAAGCAAACCATGCAAAAATACAACATCCAATTTCGATGGTGTGTCAGTTCTATGCAATGGATGAAGAAGGTATACGTGTCTGGGATATTTGATATGCTTATTTTTATCAATGTCTAAATTTGCTAATGCACATCCTGCAGGTACCGATAATCTTATATCCTTGTTTTTAGACCATGCTACTAATATACCAAACCATCCTAAAAGAAATCAATTATATTCAATGTTATTATCAGTGATTAAAAAATATATATATTTTGTATATTTTAACAATGTCCAACCTGATCGGAAAAAATCATCTAAGTATTCAGTATGAAGCGATATATTAGAAAGTATGTTGGCAAGAATTGTACACATTTCTATATTATTGCTGAAGATTTTGTAAATTAACATTAATATCTCTAGACCTCCAGCATTCACAATATCTTTAAAAAAGAAATACAAGTATTAGAAGAATATAGTTAATTAAAAATATAATTATTTAATGAGATTAATCAATTAATTAAATTCTTTATACCTTTACTATATTGTTCGAGGGAAGAATGATGATAAATTGCTTGGACACAGTTTTGAAGTAATTCTTCATTCCATATTATTGTCGGTGGAACTGCTAAACCCATACTTGTTAAATCATGTTCAAACATTAAACCATCCTATGACATATTATATATTTCATTATAGATTTATTATTCTTATTTTAAATTGGAAACTTTTACTTACCCTAAATAAATTTCCAAATTTTTTATAAAGAAATTGTGTCAGACATGGATGTAACTTGTCGCACATTGAATTTAAATGTAACAACATGTTGTGCACTTTCTCGATCACATCCTGTAAAAATAATTTATATTAGATATTAATAATAAATGTTTATACAAGCTATGTACAAAAACTATTACTGGTTTTAGTAGCCTATGTTAAACTAATGTTATATACAATTTACATACATGCAATTTATATTCCACATGAAAATAAGGTGGTATTAAGAAAAAGCGTTGATCAACATTGGGTGTACGTGCAAGAGCAATAGCTGTCCTAGCATCTAACATCTGTGCCATATTTCGATAATGCCAATCTAAAAATGATTTTAATATTATATCAATTTTTCTTGCTTATTATTCACTGATGCTACATACAAACTGATTTATATTATTTATTCTATGTTATTAATGTTTATTTACCTTCTAAATCACTTAAAGAACATAAAGTTGTCGCAGCCCTTATCCTTTCATGTTCATCACCCAAACGAGCAACGTTTATCAATCTATAAGCTAATTTTTGATTTAACATTTTCCATCTTTCTGCTATGATATCAACCATGATGGTTACCATATTAGTTACATTATAATTAAATCTAGCTATGACATTTGTTATATTGTGATTAACTGCTGATTGTCTTTCTGACACATATTGATTTTTCTCATCGTGAAATGTAAATATATCTAAAATGAAATATTATAATAATTTATAATAAATGATAGAAATTTATAATAGGAAGGAATGATAGAAATATATTAAATGTCTAATTGTTACCTTTATATTGAGGTTTATCAATGTATATGTATGATTTACGTGATTTCTCTAAATTAAGAATATCTGTCGTTACAGTTGATCGAAGAATCTTTGATGTCTGTCTCAGTTGATATAAAAACCAACAGCCTCTATATAAAACATACATAAATGTAATTAATAACATTTAATTATTTCATAACTTGTCAACCTTAACCTAAAGACAGTCAAAAATACATACCCTATAAACACCATGCAGGTACCACTTGACATTAAATAATACAAACATTTTTTGTAAGTTCTTACACGCATTTTAATAAAATAATTATTAAATCCAAGATTTTAATATTATTCCAAAAGATTGAATAAAAGTTAATGAACTTTTTTCAGTTTGGTATCGTTGGTTATAAATTTTCGAGGTTATACCTGTATGATAAAATAGATAAATAATTAGTATTATAAAATGTAGTATATTATACACTATTATGATTTAAAAATGATACTGTACGTCTAATAATTATTCTTGCAAATAATTAGAATAAACGAAATAGTATACTAGTAAAACTAACCTTAACGTTAATGCAAGTAAATATAAAACTTTATGTGATTCGGTGGTGCAATGACATGACGTGTCCAAATTCCATTCTGTTCTGGGATGTGTCATTTTGTTTATGTATATGTAGTGTATAAACATACATAGATATAATGTAATATGTTATTCTTTCTTTTTTAGAGATGATATATAACTAATTGTTACGATATGGCACCACTCATAGATTTATTGTCATGCAGTATTATTGGTAAGTTTTTATTATAATATACATGTATATATATATGGAATATATTTAATATTTATAATTTAAATAAAATAATATTTGTAGAAAAAGATCATAATGGAGATATACTTTGGACATGGTCATATCCTACAGTTTCAGAATCACAAAAGACTATTGTCAAAAGAAAATGTAATTTAGGACTTGAACATAACTCTCCACAAACATTTATTTGGGCTCGACATGGTCAAACATGGTTCTATTTACATTGTAGTGAAGTATTCGATTCGGACAGATTACCCAAGGTATAAAAATGAAAAAATATGTACACATATATTACAAATGTATGGTAAACTAATGGATTATTTAACTTTTTAGGTTAAACAATTTGCATTAGTTTTATTCGCAAAAGATTTCAATCCACAAAAATATGAAGTACTCTCACGCGTTTTCAGTAAAATGTATTGCAAAACCGGTAAGCCTACTGAGATTTTACAATTATATCTTTCGGTTTTTACTAAGGGATCATGTTCGACACAAGAGAATGGAACTTTTGTATCCGATGACTTTAGCAGTCGTACGACAATTAATACCAATGTTAGGGAATTAATAAAAACATTTGAATTAGAAACGATTTTAATATATACCGCTCTATTGTTAAAGAGAAGGATTGTAATTTATCATCACAGTTTAGAACAATTGCTTAAATGGATGAAAACTTTTCCTGCTTTAATGAAACATCGTAAAGTTGAAGAAAATTTATTTCCATGGATTGAGCTGGTTAATGATGAGATACTTGATTTAAAGGTACATGCTATAAAAAAGATTATTGGTTTTTTTTAATAATTTAAGTATTGAAAATAAATACAATGATTTTACAGAAGCAAACATATTATGTAGCAGGATGTAGAAACAGTGCAATTTCTGCAAGGACAGATCTATATGATTTATTAGTTAATATACCAGCCAGAGAAATTACTGTTGCTCCACATGCAAAAGGTAGAGAGCAAATTACTTTAAATTTCTTTTTACAATAGAATTTGTTATTTTAATCTTTGTTTCGCAGAGAGTTTAACAATGACAAAAACGCATAAGGAAATAGCATTGTTTATGGTACAGTTATGTGAAAATCAAAGCTGTACAGAATCACAAATAATATCTGAGATCAATGAGAAAACGAAAGATTTGTTAAATCAATTAACGTCTTTAGCTACCACTGAAACACCGGATGGAAAAAAAATGGTCTCTGTTCAAGCATTCAAAGAAAAAGATTTACCACAAGCTGTCGAAAGCTTTTTAATTAATCTAGCAATCGCTGAAAATTTATTTATGTTATAAAATATATTTTTTGCATCCGAGTTATGTGGACTTGTTGCGCAATCGTCCAAATAAAATGAAAAAATTCCTAATGCAACTATTACATATAATAAATATTATAACTTACGCAGATGGTGGATGTTCCATTTAAAATGAAGAAGTATTTAGAAATTATAATGATTTTTCAAGGATATCGAAATAAATTATCTAATAATAAAACTATTAGAGCACGAAGGATGCAACTTGTTGCAAATATGCTTTAATTGTGCGTCTATATTTTAGTTTTAATAGCCCGCGATAATTTGAAATTCTTTGATACAAATGATGCGCTTTGATAACGCGCGAAAATTTAAAATTGTTAGAAACGAATAGTGTTCTTTCTACGCATGCTTATAATAATATCATGTTTAATTTTTGTTTTAAATTAATTGATAATTAAACAAATTGATAGTTACTGCGCGATCAGAGATAAAGTTTATAATAAAAAAAAAACCTTGTGTGCATATCACACAAGTTAGAATTGAAACCTTCAAATAAACAAGTTTCGAGGAATATAATTTATTATATAATATTATTAGAATATTATTTGTACTTTTAATTTGTAATTATTTATTTAATTATTAATTTAATTATAAAAATGCGCGCCTGTTCTTATGCAACCCTCTAGACACACTTTGTAAATGTTGCTTGCGAGCGCCATCTACTGGGACGGAATTTTTTGCAGTCTAAACTGTTTATACACGTATGTATGACGGGTTGCCTATCTTTCGGGCAGAAAAGAATTCCGTTCCGACAGATGGCGCTCGCAAGCAATATTTGTAAGTATGTCTGGAGGGTTGCATTCATACAGGTGCGCTTTTTCGTTTTCTTTCCCTACTACATCCCGGTTTCGTTTTCCCACTGCATCACTGCGTTTCACTTTTTCAAATCATACCCATTCTAAAGAAGTTTTCACTTCAACAAGGATTAATAATATATTTTTTAATCAAAGACTTATTACACAAGCACTTTTAGTATACAAAATCTATACGCATAATTCAGTCGTTATGAACGAACTCGTATTTGTTATTTATTTCAAATATTTTATGCGTATTTCTCTGAATACACAATCATATATTTACAAAAATATATAAAATATATTAATATCTAAAACATTTCCAACAGACATATGTAGAAACGTTTCCTATTATGTAAATATTCGAGTGCAGTAATAGTGAACAATTTATAGTTATATTATTTTTTAATTTAAAAACGATTTTATAATACTGATGAAAATGATGATCGATCAATTATATAAATAACAGGAATAATAGTTAATTAATGATAGTAAATTAGAGATTCTAATTATATTATCGAATTGAAACTGTTAATTGCGGTTTATCACTTTCAATCAGTTTTTAATATTGTCTTCTTATGATTTCTTTTTTTTTTCTAGAAATGAAGACAGATTAAAAACTGGTTATAGAAATCCTTCTATTGAAAACGTTTCTTTTAACGACCATCTTTGAAGAACTTTCAAAGAGAACTTCTATAAAAAAGATTAAATTAATTTCTTGAAAGTTTCGATGATTCCTTATTTCCAGTGACTTGTTCAAGTTCAAGACCGTCATATTCGGGACCTCCGGCATTATCATAATACGCATAATCATAATCATTCTTTTTTCCTGACTTTGGACGAACAGTTGTACTGCTAATAAATCTGGTAGTGGATGTGAAAGGTCTAGCCGAACCGCTGACGTAAGTGCTACTTCGAGGAGTAGTATTTATTGACGATGGCTTTTGAGTATTACTGTTGAAACTGCTTGGATTATATGTGGTAGCTTGTCTCCTGCTAAAAAGAGAAAGTTTGAATAATGTAATCGAACGAGATGACATCAATAAAAATACATATTCTTTAATTGTATAATAAGTAGAGGCACGTGTAAGCTTACCTAGGAACTGGCGTCGTAGATCTAGATGTCTCAGCCAAATGATTTATACTAGCAGGACTGAAGCCTATACCTACTGAAGCTCTTCCAAAATCATAATTATCTGTACTAGTTTCAACGTAATATTTGTTACTGTTTGAACTCTCATAATTGTTGTACTGCGTAACCTTTTTCGACGTTTTCGTGCTGTCATAATGTTGAGTAGAAGATTTGATTGCCTGATCGTTCTTTTCATAATACTGACTGTTATCAGATGGTTGTTGACTGTTGTAACGATCGTTGCTGCGAGGAACCGATTGAGCTGGACTGCTGTCAGAGTGGACATATTTCTTCGTAGGTGGACTATAAGTAGTTGGAGCGTAACTGTTTCCGGCATAATTTGTGAAGTGTTTCGAGGTGGTCTGACTTATTTCTGATGTAGTAGAACCATGTCCATTCCTGTATTGTTCGTTGGCACTGCTGTAATTATTGTCATAGACTGTAGATGCGATGGTTGTTGATTGACGGTATCCTCCACTATTACCGTTACCACGTTGAACGTTATAATTCTTCTGATAATTTGTATAATCACTCGTCTGATAATTCGTGCTAGGTAATACAGTGCTGGATTGGGTGAACTGTCCAACATTATAGGGTTGATATCCATTTCTATTGCCATTACCATTGTAATTCGTAGTTCTTAATGTAGTACTAGGTGTATAAGATCCTGAATTATCCTGATTGTAGTTGTTGTTCGTGTTGTAAGTATTGTAAACTGTTGACTTGGCGGTAGAACTCGGTGGTTGGTAACTACTGTAAGAATCTTGGAAATTCGTATTGGGCCGATAAGTCGAGGACGCGGTTACGGTATATTTTTGAATATTTTGATTCCTGTTATAGTTCTCTTGAGGTCTACTCGTGGAAGATGAACCGGAACTAGTTGAACGTTGATTGTAATTGTTGTTGACAAAATTTCCATTATAATTATTTTGACTATTGTAAGTTGATGGTACAGCCGTGCTCGATACAGGATAATCATTAGTGTTTCCGTTGTATGGTTGCTTCCTACTCACCTTCCTAATACCTGTTTTCTTTTTCTCTGTGGTCACTGTTTCATCTTTGTAAGATCTTTCGTTATCATAATTATCTTCCTTATTTGTTCTTTGATTGTAAAAACCAATTTTGCTGCTACCATGTACAGCTTCTCGATTATTATTATTATTATTATTGTTGTTGTTGTTGTTATTAGTGTTATAATTAGTAGAAGAAACTCTACTAAGTGCGTTTGCTGATGAACGCACTGGATCATTGCTTTCACTTCGTAGAAGATTATCCTGGGGTTCGTCATCGGTGCGTATAGCATCGTAATGAGGAGACTCTAATCCTGAACCAAGTCTGTACAAATCAAAGTTGTCGCTGGCGTAATAAAGAGTAGCAGCTTCACAGTCTACGTCATACCAATCCGCGCATGTTTGACTCTCCTGATCGAAAGCAGTATCATTGGGACACAAGAATCTGAAAAAATGCATAATTTTATTTAAATGTTCCAAAAAAAAAAAACGATAAAGTGATAACAAAACTCACTTGTAATCCTGAATACTGCCAGATACAGAAACGCAGACGTGAAATACTTGGCAATCGGTTTCAGGATCAGCATAATAACTTCCAATGATTTTATTGCGACACGTAAAGGCCGTTTCCGGCATGTATTGTTGAGAATATCTTGGTGGAGGTCGTTGAAGAGCCAAAGTTGTGCTCCATAATATAATTACTGAAATCCGATGAAAGATTGATTAACTAACGAATCAATTTTTTAAAGATTATATTCATTGTTAAATATGTTAAATTATCTTTTATTCTTAAAAAGATTAACGATAAGATAGTTTCAACCGGATGCATATGTATCCTTCCACTTGTAGAATTAGAAAACACAAGTATCCAAGCACGCACGATAGTAATATTAAACAGCTGGTTAATTTTCCGTCCTCGTTATTAATGGGAACAAATTTTGTATGGTAAAACATTTTTATAAAATAATTTTTAACAAGACAATGAATCTCAATTACTATCAATATAAATTATCACGATAAATTATAAATCAAATATCCTATAAATATAAATAACGAATAAATGATTTAGAAGACAAATATGAAGTAATCAAAATATTTCTGAGAACTTAGAACGTACCCGGTAACACTAGAAGACATGGTTCTAAAGACTTCATGATCGTTTTAGTTGAACTCTTGTATTAGGTGAAGATATAAGCTGTCTAGGATCACCTTCGTGAAGGAACTCTTCAAGACGACTGAGGTCTTGCCAAGGAAGCTCTGTGACGTAGATGTGCGCAACTTTCTGAGAGGATGGGGTATCAGGGCCTGGAGGATGCTAGTAGTAGGGGCCTCAGGCCCAAGAGAGAATGTACGCGTATGTATATACGTACATAAGGAGGAAGAAGAAGAAGAAAGAGAAGAAGAAGAAGACGTAACATAGTGTTACGTCATACTACGAAGCTCATCCACTAGGAATAGCACGAGCAGGGAGCTCATCTGCGCGATCAAAGCGTTCATTCTAAATGTATACTTTTGCCATTTTCTATAATAAAGTACAATTTTTTTTTTCTTTTCTTTATTAATCACTTGAAGCAGATATTATCGGATTTTATCGAATAGGAATGTAGAGATTTTTAGCAAGAAGATTTAATTTTGTTATTTTCATAAGAAACATGTTACATTACAACTTGCACTGTGGTAAATGTATTTGAATTCATCGAAGTACAGATAAAGTGTAATTCAGTAGTCTAATCCCCATCATAATAGAGATGTGTACCTTGGCAATTAACATCGTATTAGACTTCAAAAACTGAAAGACCACAGGGAATTAGACGACTCCGTGTATATATTTTGATTTGTGGTTACGTTCAGTGTCTAGGAAAGATCGAGGTCGTGCCACGAGAATTGAAATTGTGCAATCCTAAGATCTGCTACGCATCCTGCAACATACCATCATCAATCCGATCTAAAGCATTTAAGGAAAGAAGAAATAGACTTCTCTTTGATATTTCTAAAACCTTGTTCGATAGTTGTTCTCTTTAGAAAACAAGATGATACATTTGTCGTCAAGCTTATCAATTTATATTTTTTTGTCATTCCCTTATTATCCATTAACACCATTAGAGATAGAAAGAGATATTGCGTCATGGTTACATGTTACTCATAACGGTTAATTAACGAGTAAGAGTATTATATTTTTCAATGACCGTCGAGACGTCTATTATACTTGGGATGAGCTCGACTCGAGGAATCTTCTCAGCCTTGGAGGGCGAAAGTTGTCTTTGAAGCGGGTCCCCGATCGTAGATGGCACGATATTTGCACTTACACCGTGTACGTCTATTTACAAGTATCCATAGGTATCCTCTGACTTACACCAATATAAGCACTGACATAGTAGGTTTAATGTGTGGGTGTAAGGACTTCGATGAAGATTCTTTTAGGTCTTCGTGTCACGGTATTTGCAAACGAGAATCGCCTTTATGGAGAAAGGAAGGTCTCTTTGGTGATCACGAATAGCAGTTTTCAGTTGTTAGTCAAGTATTTTTTCGAGAATCCTTCAACTGATTATCAGAAGAATATCTGAGAAAGAAATAATCTTTTGTTAAAAATGTTATAGATGCATAGAGTTTTTTTTTTGTACAAATTTTGACAAGGAATAAAAGTAATGTTAAGTTATAGTTAGTGAGTCATGACAATTACCATAGCGACTCTAATCGAATCCTTTGGGAGAAAGCTGGCAGTAAGGTCAGAGGTTTCCGAAGTGTCTTCCCGCGATGAAATCTCTACCAATAGGGATAGTCAAGTTGAAAATCAACGTCGACCTCTTCTTGTCTTTTTTGAACCCACGCTCTTCTTCTTCTTCTTATTTTTCTAATTTAGGATATTGTTCTATTAATTAATATGATTGGAAGAGAAGGAACTTGATATTATCTCTTTTTTCGTTTTTTTTTTTAATCACGAACGGATGCATGGTTATAGTGTCCCCAACAAAGTTTCTTGCTCAAGCGGATGCTAAAAAGGTGCTAAACGTATGCGAAATACATCGCACTTCCGTCAATTAATTTTGATTCGAGATATACGCGTATACATGTCAGTGTTGTGTAGCATCATTTAATAAACGAGTAAGAGAGTTCCTATATTCCTCTCTGTCTTTTTCCCTTGGCGCATCTTCCATTAACACGGTGAAAGTGCAAGATTTTTCTTGGCCTTCCGTGTGTCATTCGAATGATGTTTACCACAGCAATAATATTTTTTCCCTCTAAGAGAAAAGGACAATTTTTTGTTTTGTTATCTTGTTGTTTCTTGTCTTTACAGAGATAAATACGAAGGCGTGGTTCAATTTAATACTTTCCACAGTGCGTGTCTCTTTCAAGTGTAATTTGAACTTTAAAAAATTTCTTTTATACAAAAACAATAAATTACACTCTTATGATCCTGACCTACGTGACTGCAACATCACATATACGGCATGTACTTTAACGATCTTAGTAGTTACCGTCAACGTTCGTTGGAGAAAGCATGAAGAAATTCTTCAAATCTTCTTACATATGTCCTCAATCAAACGATTTATATTCTTTCCGGTTTTCCTTTCATCAGCCCACACAAGTTAAACTCTGTCCTATGTTTTAGATATTACGTGAGCATATTTGGAATGAAACTTTTAGTTTGACTGTATAATACATTATTCAATAAATCTAAAGAATAAATATTTCATTATTTTTCATTAAAAATTATCTTTTAACATAAAATATTTCATGATATCAAATTTACTTCATTTTTCTTATTAATTTTAATTTAAAAAATGTTCAAATATCCTTACCAGAGTTATTGAAGCAAATGTTCTTTGCAAAACGAACCGATAAATTCATGAAAGAGAGAAGGACGATCCTAAAAGGAGATCGTTGTTACATGTTGGTGGTGATGGTGATGGAGGAGGAGGAGGAGGAGATGGGAGAGCGGATGAAGAGGGTTTCTTCTCGTTTCCACCATGTGAGAAAGTGAAAGCAAGAATTGAGTGTATACCAAAGACGAGACAAGATGTATACCGTGCCGTCTTCGAGCAGCAGCACGATCCAACGTGAGTCTCGTTCCTCCTGAATCAGAATATAATCGGAGATCGTTCAACTTATTTTTCCCTTTTTCATTTTTTTTTTGTTTCTTTCCATTGCTCGTAATATCCCTTATTTGTTTTCTCATTATTTATTATACTTCTGTTCTTCCATTTATCATTTTAATTAGACTCGCTAGAAATTGTTCCAATTCTAATTCCTTGCTCCTTGCAATTAGCAATGCAATTATTAGATCAACGTACAAATAAAGATCTATTCCTCATTATCAACATTATTTGTCGTCATTTATTACAACCAATTTTTCTGAAAATAGAATTTTCCTTGAAAAAGAGATTATCGTTGTGATTTTATTCTTCATCGCGAATTGCAAGGTCTCTTCTTGTTAATAAAAAAAAAAAAAAAAGATAGAAAAAACTAAAACCTGAATTATATACCATCTAGAGAAATTTCGTAATGTCCTGTCATACGTGCCGAGAACGTTAAAACAAGGAGAAGAAAAAAAATCCTCGGATGTTTAAAATAGTCGACGGAGTCGAAAGCTTTCCACGGTCTATGCTCTGACGGTTTAGAGTGAACGAGTGCTCGACCGTGAAACAAGGGGCGCTTAATTAAAAATTGTAATGGAGTGTTAACTCGGTCTATTCGATTTCTCTATTCTATAAGGTGATCGTCCTTTTGTTTTGGTTCATAAACTATACGAATTTATCTATAATTTAAGTTAAGTCCTGCGTGAAAATCAAATGAATTCGATTTAACACTAATTCATGTATACTGTAAACTATGTCAAATGATTGATCTTTAACAAAATTGATATTTGTTACAATTCAATATAAAAAATCATAAATTTAGTATTAATTTAAATAATATATAAACTAATTTTTAAATAATAATTATAGTTAATACAAAATCAAATATAAAAAATCAATAAAATTGAAGGCTAAATTGGAATTCCAAATAAAAAAAAAACACATCATTTGACTGGTCCTAATTTAATATTAAATTTATGGACAGAGAAAAAAATAAATATTCATTTTAAAGACGATTATTATTATACTAATGAGGAAGTAAACGCATAAGAACGTTTATATGCTTCATTGGATTCTCCATGGATCCTCCTCTTACTCGACACTCGTTTTCTCCTTCATTGATTTTAAACAACGGAACCCTGATCTTTCTAGCTGTCATATTGATCGATAATACTATACTAATATTTTATATATACGCTACGACGATATTCCTTGATATATAATCGTAGGTCATCACGAGGATGATACTACTTACGATTCTGGATAGAACTTTCTCTCTTACGATGTTTTTCTTCATAAGGTTTTCGACAAAACATTAAACTTCTCGATGGAATTTACGTTTGTAATATTCTTGCGTAATAAAACCTGTTTGTGCGTTGCGATGAGTTTACCTGGAAATACAATAAATATTTTTATTAGTCAGATATTTATAATGTACACAGATATAAATATTATTTTAATATTTATTCGTAATATATAAACGTATTTGCACGAATCTATTTATATCATAAGTTAAAAAAATTTCATTTTCGATGCTAATTCCTTCAAGGAGAAAAGTTGAAAGGGTTACGACCTGCACGTGCAATTCCCGTGAGAAATTCTTTTTTGTTGTTGTTGTTGTTGTTATAAAAGGACCGGATGTATAGGCAAGTCTTCAGAGGTGGAGCCAAGAGGGACGTGCGTGGTTAATTAGCCGTGTGCCTTCAAGATAACAATGCCATGAACGGATTACGTGCTTGTTCGTTGTACCTTCCTGTAGATGATCATATAATATTGTTAGTCGATATTCAAAATATCTTTAATGAATTTATTAAATGTAATTAATGATTATATTTAAAATAATGAACGTTTATTTAGAAAATTGCAACGAGATCGTAATTAGTATTAAAATTACATGCAAAAATAAGCTTAATAATGAATAATCGATATAAATTATATTATTATAAATATTTTCAATTAATTTCGAAGAAAGTATAATTCAAAAATGTAACAGATAATTAACTTCGGCTAAGTAAGGTGCAAACGATGAAATCGTTCGGAGAGTTAATGATACGATTCATTCGCTTAAGTTATGCTTTTACGGTTTCCTAGGCAAGTTATAATATTTATAATTAACCTCAGTGGCTAGGAATTTACACTATTATATTTCTCGCCACTGTTTAGCTCGAGTAATGCGAAAGAATTTGAAAGAAGAATAATAAATGTAAATATAGTATTATTACCATAAAATAAGGAATTTCTTGAGCAATCGAGAAGAGATTAGAAATCACTATTCGTCTAAAGATCAACATCCTGAACAGGTCCATGATTTCTATACAGAGTGGTCCACTTGTCTCGATCATTATCAAGTCTATATGATATTTATCATTATTTTCATTAAAAAAAAATAAGAAAGTCTTGCATCACCATTTGTGTTTGCTCGTTTCAGTTTCTTGTAATGCTAGACGCAACAATTACGTTTCAAAGGATCAAGTCGAATAGAAGACATACTGTGTATATTGTAGAACGAAATCGATGCAGGTTCGTCGGTGTTATTAATCGTCGATGGTGCGGACTATCGTAGACGTAGATTTTAAGAGGGCAAAAGAATACACGTGCGCTATGCACGTGCTAACTTTGAATGGGATCCAAATGGAAATGTATCGTAGTCTTTCAGGAGCAACAGATACGCGGAGTCTTGCACTAATGCACTTTGCGTAATAGGCCGCATTCAATTCTAGTAGAAAATATCATCTTCTGATAATTTTAAACAACGTTGATGATGATGATGAATAAAATAATACATTTTGTTGTTATGCAATATTTCCTTTTTCCTAGCTTCTTTCTGGTATAACATTGATAAACCTATTTATTAAAATAATTCAATTAATACTTGTTCGAATGAAATTTGCAAAGAAAAAAAAAATAAGAAGAATATATCGCACGATACTTACCGAATCAAGTAACTTTTTCTATACGTGGAATAAAAGAGACGTGGGAATTGGTGCGCGAGTTGCTTAAATTGTTCGGCCAATTTTCTCACAGGAAGAAAACAACAATTCGATACAAGTCGGTGGAAGAAAAATGTGCTAGGACAACTACGAAAACAAGCGTAATTTGTTATAGGGATTTTGCTAGTCATTATTACGATTCGTATATCATCATTTATCTTGCATCGAATCCTATAAACAATAGTTTAGATCTTGCTAATAATGAAAAGTCGTAGGACTTCTGACAATGAGATATCCCGTGGTACGAATGTGTCGTAGCATACATTAGAATGTGGCACAAGGATGAACAAACCAGTGAAGCAAATCCCTCTCCTTTCTTAATGTTTCTATATACCTCGATTGATCCTAGTGTAAAGTCTTACACGTTGTAACGTACAGATTTTCAAAGAGACATTTTACAAATTATACTTCTTCTTTTTTTTTTTTTTTTTAACATATCATCGCTTGTATCAATTTTTTTTTCTTTCACATACAGAACGATTACAAGAGTGAAAAGAAATAATAAAAAAAAAATAAGAAAGAAACAGGGGGTTCCCTGTGGATTCACGCGATTTGTTTAATGTCTACCTTACAAGCCATGTATTATTATTTTAATTGCTCCCACGACTTGTTTCCCCAAAGTGTTACGCCACGCGTGAACACATTTCACTTTTTAACTTATACTTTCGTTCTTTATTAGTCGAATCATCGTCAACATTAATAATAAACCTTTCTTCTTTTTCTTTCGTTATGTTTTCGGATGATACACGCAAAGATTGCAGTTAGCAAGGGGTTACCTCAATTAATAATTATTTATAATAATATACTTAGAATGATTAGTCTTTTATATTTTTTGTTCTATTCTTGGAATGTGTTTTTAAAAGCTATATTAATCCATGAAATTTCCATAGATACTTCGTAATTTGACTTTCACTAATGCGTTATCTATCCTAGCCATCTCTGAAGTATCTTTCTGACATGTACGCCTCTTATATGCTCTCTCGATGATGTTAGATTCCTACGTGAGAATCTTACTTTGATTAATCTTATAATTACTTGTAGTTAATATTTTATTTTGTTCAAATAGTATATATCTTATCAATCAGATTCTGCGTGCATCATATCCGTATAAGTCTTCTCGTAAGAAATTGTATCACAGATTAGAGAAATGTATGTTGGAAGAATTTATTGAATAACATGTATTGTGCAGCTAACTCTGTATTATACTATGTATTCTCGTAACCACTAGAATCTCTTCTATTCAGTTTCTATGATCGCGTAACACGTGTAATATGCATCTGAACGCTTTTCAATCTTGAACGCTGAAGAGTCTCAACTTCTATACCATGGAACAAGGAAATCTTCCTTCTTTACGCAACAGGAAATACTTCTCGCGTCTTTGAGAAAATAAGAAACCTAACCATCTATGATATACAAAGAAATAGAAAGTATTAATAGAAAGTTCTAAAAATGTCCAAAAAATGACATAAATTTCATTCGTTTAATCGTTTCGAAAATTAATTGTTCTACCTGACATAAATATGTAAGAACGCACCTTCTTCATGATTTTTTGAGAGTCATGATTATTTCTAAATAACCTTCTGTTCACTTTTTATTAAACGTTTTAATTATTACTCTAAAACTGAAAATTTATAATTAATTAGAATTGAGAATATTTATTTCTATTAAACATAATTAGCATTGATAAACTTATTCATTTTGAAATAACTGTTATCATTTTGGTCGATAATATAAAAATCTACTTTTACCGATTAGTTTCAATCCGGTAGGTAAGTTAGAAGAATGTAAAATTTCTTGCATTCAGTCGGTAATGATGGAAACCTACAGGAGATGATGAATGAGTTTTTTAAATGTTAATGTTATATTCGATAATGTATTTATATACCTTCAAATAAGCTAAGCCAATAATTAATTAATAATAATTATTATCGCTGCTTATTGGTAATGCCATTGTTTGTTTAAGGGTACTCGTAAGATAAAAAAAATGGTACTTCCTACAATATGAAAAATAACATTTAATTTGAGATTTAGAAAAATATTCTTTTACAAATTAATAAAGGATAATATAAAAGCACAGAGAGAGAGAATTGTTTTTATATACAAAACTTACAAATATATGTTTTTTTTTTTTTCATTTAGCGAGAATTTATAATTGAAGTATTAAAAGCATCTAACGGTAGAGCGTTGTTTTTAAAATCTATCATAAAATTTTGAATACTTTGTCGCAAATTCCAGTGTTCCTTAAGCAAATATTGTTCACACCACTCTTTCTTTAATTTACTGATTTGTTCAAATTCTGTTATTATTTCACACTTCTCTTTTGGGCTAAAACATTCTGGTATAAAGTCCTTGTTATCTGTACTATCTGTATCATTTAATTCAATAATTGTATTAATTAAAGTTTGATTTTCTGGAGCATCGTTAATGCATATCTGATCATTTATAATATTATATTCGTTATCAGGACCAATCCATAAAACAAAAGTTCTATTAAACGATAGAATTTGATTATTGTCATTTTTATTCATAAATAATCCGGTAACCGATATCATTAAACGTTCATTGTCCTCATACATCAGATCATATTGAAATGAGTTTTGGTAATGATAAGTTTTTGGTAATTCATTGATAGTATTTAATATATTATTTTCTCCATAGTATAAAAATTTACGTCTTTTATTTGAATTTGTTACTTTTAAAATATTTCTACTTTTAGTATATTGCACTAAATTTTTTTTATGAGCGACAGAAAATGGAATATTGAAACTTAAAGAATAAAGTGCCTGTTTACCATATAATCCTTTTAAAATATTTCTATCCTCTTGATCAAATAAATTAAAAAAATGTCTAACAAACTTATATACAAGTTCACGTCTTGTATTGTTTTTGAAGTACTCATTATGTGTTATTGGACAAGTAGAATTACATACAGATGCACCGTCCAACTCAATTATATGAGGGCAGTAAATCATCGCAGAGCTTATGTATTGTTTAGCACTAGAATAATTTTCACATAATGGATTACCATCTAACCAAAGTTTTCTAATCATTACATCTTGTAAGATATTAAGATCTTTCATATTTAATAAATTATTGTATCTTAAATCTAAATATTTCAAAGAATTTAAGTCTAACAATTTTAAACCGTCTAATATAGACAATTCATTACGCTTCAAATTCAAATATTTAATTGTGGTAAATTTACTTTTAGCGACTGTTAATATGTGTTCCAAATTAGTCTGATGAGACAAGGGACAGTAAATAGTTTTATATAAATCTGCATCCTTATGGAATGCTTCTAAATCTAATAATTTTTTATTAAAATCATACCTTTTAGTCAAAGTATTTAGAAGAAGCGGTTGAATGTTAATGGTTAAATCAGTAACCAGGGCAAAGCCCAAGACAATTGTTAAAATCAGATGATTACCGTCTGGAATTTTAATGATTAAACTAGATCTGCATAAACTTTCAATAGCAGGACCACAATTGTTGGCTATAAAATATGAGTCTTCTCCTCGCACTTGATATTTCACCGGTAACAAGTGCGCCGGTTCTACAGAATTTAATATACCTTTTAATACATCTTCCTTGTCGTACAGTGCACCTTTAATTACTTTAAATTCATGCCATATATTAAGACTATCTATTAGCATATGTTCTGGGTAATCGTTGATTGGACCCATAACTAATTTAATTGCCATAGATGAATCTAAAATGTAACTATGCAAATTGCTTTGCATTTTGACTTGATTTATTGTTAAATCAATAACATAACATTAATAATAATAAATTATTATTTGTTCAATAATTAGATATCAAATTATTAATCACTTTTACACTTGGTGTGAGAAAATACCTGTAAACAGAAATATTTCTTATCTTTTTGTATACTGTTTTCTAACCTAAAAATGAATTTCATAATATACAAATATATTTACCTGTGTAATCATGTGATTCATAATTACAATTAATTCTATTAATTGTATATAAACAAAAATAAAAATCTTGATATTTATTTGTTCAATCGAAAAAGAATATTAAAATGTTTATCTCTTAAAGTCTTTATCACTTTATCACTACTTCAGTGATGCCACTTCCTACTTTGAACTTAAAATTTACTATAATACGAATTTTAAATATTTCAAAATTACCGCTCGTTTTAGACGTTCTATTATATAAACAAATGTATTATTATTTAAATATTATAATTCATTTTTTTATCAAGGTAAAATATTATTTAAATTAATTTTAATTAATTAACAATATTAATAAATTCAAACAATTTTAACATATCAAATTAAAATTATTTAGTAATGATTTTTTGGTCAATAATTTGCTTTTATTAATTTTATTTTATATTAAAATTAATTTTAGTATATATAAATAAACACATAAAACATTACGTACACATACATGCGGCATACACACATGCTCATATATGACTTACATATATATTACTTTACATTTTCCAAGTTTCTATGTGGTGGAAAAGTTCAAACACAATGAATATTATTTTATTTTATATATGTGTGTTTATATAATTCGTCAATTTCAATATTTCTATTTCTTTATGAAAACCGTACGAAAAACATAAATAAAGATAGGTGATATTGTTGTCTCGAAATCAAAACATTTCGTTTCTGTTAAAGGTGACAATAGTCTCTTTTGCATACAGGATCTCGAGGAGAGTAGACGTAATTAAAGTAGGGGTCCGTGTTTCTTTTCTAATATCCACACACATTTAATTATTTTATATTTTATCTTAACTTTATTATAATTAATTTATTATTAAAGATATTTTATATTGTAGCATAGAATATCAGAGAATATTTGATAATTATATAAGAATAATTATGAAGAATACTGTTAATTAACATATATATATATATTAATCGAAAGCGGGAATCTGAATAGTTCTCGCCATTATAATACGAATAAATAATGATTCTTCTTTAATTTCTGTAAACATATTAAAAAATATGTTATCATAATAATATTAGTAGTATTCAAATATTTAAATATTCAAATTATAATGACGAGATCCAATCAGCGTACGCGTTTTTTAATAATTTTGATGCACCAATCACGATCGTTTTTTAATAGGAAGTTCCAATTAATAACGATATTATTCCATTATCGAAAATCCGTTATTAGTTCACTCGGGTCCTTCGGTTAATTACATTTGAATCGGTTTTTTCGTGGATAAATTTGTTTAAAAATTAAGTTTAATAATTACAATGGTAAGCTAAATATTATCTTACAAACTTTCTTTATCGTTTTATTTCAATATCAATATAAAATATAAGTTATTTTATAACAAATATGTACAATGAGTATTATATAAAAAATTAGATCGTCGATCTTCATACCTATTGCAAAAAAAGAAATTTTAATAGAATGATTTAAATAATTTTTCTTTTTCTCTTTTTTATTACAGTTTAATTATTACCAAATTGTGGGATTATCATCGAAAAAGAAAAGGAATTCTTCTGGGTGCCCAGTGGATCAGGCCTATCTTTGACTTTACTTCGAGATATTCATCATTTACGTACGTACAACTGTGAAAATTGTAAGTTATTTATAATTAATTTTTGTAATATTCTATTTTGGAAAAAGAGGTGATAGTTTTGTATCTTTGGATAGACCGTTGATCGTTTCGCGTATACTTATATATATATATATATATATATATGTATACCACATGTATATAATACATGTGTATATGTATATACAGAACGTGAAGGAATATGTCGATACGAAGCGCATTATAGCAATTCAATAATAAATTGTAGAACGCTCGGTCCGTTGTATTATGCGCAGGTAATCACAGTAATAAGCAGTTCTAAAAGTAACGTAAGTACGTTGTAGGTAGTAACGAATAAGCCATAATCTTAGAGAGGATGCTCTTCTCTCTTCCTTTCTCAACGCATCGATTCAACAACGTTCGATGTTAGGACGAACGAAAATGAGATAAAGTGAGAGAGAAAATCTAGCAAAAGATCCATGGGCGTCTAACGTAAATGCGATTATATTTTCATGATCGATTTATAACTTTATAGCTTTTCTACAATCTTTTCAAACAGATTTCTACTTTATCCGAGTGTTCTCATTTCATTCGTACGACATTTTTTCGATTATCTATATATACATATATATATATTTTGAGAATTAATTACTCGCGCCATCTGTTTGTGAAAGTTTAATTTACATTGAAAGTTTACTTTATCATATGGTAAGTTATCATAGGAAAATGTCGGTAAAAAAAATTGATGTCGGTAAAAAAATTTACGTCGGTAAAAAGTATTTTATTTTATTTATTACCTACATATAATGTATACGTTTATATATATATATACATATTCGTACACTGTATAGATCGTTTGCAATCTGGGCCCCTCGGGCATAGAACTCTTATAAAGTAAATATAGTATATACGCCTATGTTCCATGAGTTTTTATATATATATATATATATATATATATATATAATACATATATGTATATATATATATATATATATATATATATACAATATATATATATATATATAGGGAGTACCTCGTACGTACCCGTTAAGCCAACATCTAATTCGATAACTGGCGAAAATAATAACGTAGCGATCCGTTGCCGTTCTAAGAGCAGAAGGAAGAAGACCATCTTTTTCAGCATCCCTTTTTCCTGTACCGGGTGTTCCCTAGAAATCTTTACAAACAACAATAGACATTCCATTGGTTTAGAGTCAGATATTTTTTGATTATTTTCTTATATTCTTACCATCCTTATAATGATTACGATCATTGACTCGAAGAAAAACAAAATAAAATGATTGAATAGCACGCGAGAAGTAAAAAAAAAAATAAAATTAGATGGGTATCGATTTTGACGTTGAAGGGGTTAAGAAAAAAAAAAAAATATTGGAAGAAAAGTAATAAAAAAAAAAAAAAAATGAAAAGGAGATATTCTTTGGTGGTAGAAGAAACGGTAGCGATTTATAACGAAGCGTCCAAAGCTACCACGGTAGTCGATGACACTTATTAAAAGTTTCGAAGGTAGCTGGGAGCGGTGCATCGATCTTCTTCGTCGTTCCTGTCTCGTACCTCTTCTTCATATTCTTCTACTTTTCCTCTTTCTCTTCATCTTCTCCATCTTCATCTTCTTCTTCTTCTTCTTTTTCTTTTTATTTCATCTTTCATCTTTCTTCTTCCGCATCTTCTTCGTGCAAGGAAGCAAGCATGCCTTGTTGCACGTCGACGAGAAATACCGAACAGTTTAATAAGCACAAGCGGTAGAAGAGATAGTGCGATACAAGATATGTTAGAACCCGCGTACCATCCATCACAGTCTCTCCCTTTCTCTCTCTCTCTCTCTCTCTCTCTTGACTTTTCGGAGGCTACTTTACGAACTCGATTCGAAAGGGGAGTAGATCTTTCTTATATGATGAAAGTGGAGCAAAGATTAACACAGAGACAACGTTCATCTCGATTGAAACTAACGTCATTCATTCCATTCTTCATTAATTAAATCACTATTCTTTTTTTTTTTTTAAATATAATATCATTTAACAGCACCCCAAATGTAGGGTTAATAAATTTAACTTGATCATGCAAATATTACCTACAAACTTTATACAGATTTACTATAATTATGTTCGTTTATAGAATTAGATTATACTTTAGGTTTTACCGATAAGTTTTCAGAACAATTTATTGAATATATAACATCAATAGTCAATAATTTTCACGGACAACGTAAATTAGTGAATCATTTAAAATGTTCTTAGATTCTGAATACGAATATTTGCCATTGAAAAATAAAAACATAAAAAAAGGTAAAGGAAATTACATTTTGAACAATCTAATAGAAGGAAAAGTTATATTTAATCTCGATCGTTTGCTCTAACTTCTTCCCTCCTCCTGCACCTTTAGCCCCTCCTCTCTTCTTCTTCTTCTTCTTCTTCTTCTTCTCCTCTTTCTCTCAAATGCATTAAATTCATCGTCCGTATTTCTGGCATAATGTTAGCGACGATAATAAAGCTCGGAGGCGCGCTCGTTCCGTATCCTGGTGTTGTGGTCGCGTGCAAAAAATACGTTAATTCCGCGTAGCTTGCATGACCGTGCAAATAAATAAAACGGCAAACACATCGGGGCCGTGTGGCACCGTATTTTATATTTTATCCGGTTCGAATGATTGATTGCGCTCTGGTGTTGCTACCGCCACAGAGTCCGCGAACGAACCAACCAACCAACCAACCAACCAACGAACGAACGAACGAACGAACGAACGAACGATAGCATCTCTCGCGAAATGCCTTGCCACGGACGCCATACCTACGGACGACTGTACTTGTCGTTTCACGCATTGTTTATTATTGTCCGATGCTTTTATCACGATCGACGTTATGTTGCCAACCGGTATAGCCTACAGTAACAACGCTACTACCCTTTACATCAGCGTGAAAAAGACTACAAACTATGGGGGAGGGGAATAGTCCTGGTAGTGGTAGATGGGTTGCACCCCTGGTCCTTCAGTTTCATTCTATTTTATTCTGTTCAAATTTTCATTTTTGTTTGTTTTAAATATCTCACAGATATCGAAATTGAATTGATTCCTCTTAGGTCGGATTGAGTTCAATGATAGAAGGAATTTATCGTGAAGAAATGATCGTTCTATGTGTAAATTGGTAGAATCTGTTACGTGATGGTTTGTATTATTAAAAGGAAATACGAATGTAACTTTTGTTTTAGATATATTATTATTTATTTCTAGATTTATGGGGATCTTTATATTATTTTGTTGTTGTTCTATCAAAAAAATTGACTTTTGTCGCATATCAGATTCTTTATTGTATTGTACTGTGGGTATTAGAATTATTATTGTAATATCGTTTACGGTAAGATTTTTCTTGACGATAATACTACAAAAAAAAAATAAAAAAATAAAAAAAAGAGAAAGAAAAGAAAAAAAAGAAACATCTCTTCCTCTTCGTTTTCTTTTTGTTTTTTTTTCTTTTTACAAAATACATAGAACGATCGAAGAATGTACGAAAGTAAAAGCGGAATAAGGGAGGCCAGAATGTGCGCACGCTCGCGTTCTCCGCGTGTGTACCACGAGGAAGAAGATCGTAATTACAGAAGCGAGACTGAAAACGCGCGCCTTCCTCCTTCGGAGCCTGCAAGGCACGATCTTCGATAAGTATAGTTGTTTCAGGATCGCGTCGATGCCTCTCTTTTACTCCCGCTATCTCGCATTATTGGTACAGGTCATGTGAAAAATTTATTGGCTCAAGCCGGATGCGTACTCCATCGTCTTCTTCATCTTCTTCTTCTTATTCTTATTCTTCTTATTCTTCGACGTTCCTGCAGGCAACTACTGTCATTTTTATATTTATCAAAATACCCCTAGAAAAATATCGAAAAATATCTACACTCTAATACATAGTCTTGCAATCTTTCAGTAGATCGATAACTCTCTTCGTATGATTTTAATTAAAAGAAAAAAGAAAAAAAAACAAACATTTTCACTTCAAACACACAAGCCGCATTGAATATAACCAAGGTGATTTAATATTATCATAAAAAGTATCACAATTTTTGTATATAATTAATTTTCAAAATTACAGATAAATCGCGCGCTCTGAACTATTTTATCGACGCGACTGTCGGTAAAAATTTCATCAGTTTTTAATTCACCTCGCTAGGTGGTGTTGGGGGTAACGTTTGTAGCGATTTTCAAAACCAAAAGAAAAACAAGAAAAATAATAATAATAATTCAATCGATCGATTTCTCTCAAATGCGATCCCCAGTATAAAAAAAGAATACTCCACTCTTTAACTACAGGTTAAAAAAAAAAAAACTTATCGCGAAAAATGAATTTAAAAAGAAAAAAAACAAAAAATGATTCACATTGTTAGGAATAATATAACATTGTATTTCTATCGTAGAAAAATAAAGAGATAAAAGCAATAGCACATTAAATTATCTAGATCCTCGATGATCGTGTTCCAATTCGTAATGCCCATAGAAAGTAAGAAAGATAGATAGATAGAAAGAAAAAAAAAAGGAAAAGAAATAGAAATAGAAAGAGAGTTAAAGAGGAAGAACTTAGAAGAAGAAGAAGAAGAAGAAGAAGAAGTAGGATATTCGGATAGCGAGACGAAAGGGTACATTGACGCAAAGTAGGATGCCTCGGGGCAGATTCTAGTTGAGGTACAGATTTATTAGCGATAGAGAGTTTCGATAGCCGTTCGTGCATCACCACGCCCATTCCGCGTGGCCGAAGCTCCAAGAGAAGAAGAAGAAGAAGAAGAAGAAGAAGAACCGAAAGCCCCTAAGAAAAGAAGGGACGACCTGCAAAAGAAGAGAAGAAAAGAGGTGAGTTAAAGGAGGAGGAGGAGGAGGAGGAGGAGGAGGTTGAGGAGAAGGTGGACGAGGGTGATGGTGAGGGGTAGGGGGAGGAGGAGGGTTGAGCCCTCCTTGGCCTCGATGCGCTTGCAACGATGCGGAACGCCACGGCTGGGCTGCTGCGCCGGCCCCAAAGAAACGCGAGATG